TCCCCCCCATCTGCTCTTGCACGGACACGGTCTTGTATAAGTGAGGGCGCAAACAAGCACGAACAAATAGACTTTTAATCAGTTAAACGTTCTCAAACTCTGCTATGTGCAGATCTTGTGGTCAAAATCTAGTCATGCCTTGTATACATGTACAATGGATTTTTCCCTCAATTTTTAAAACATTTTTACTCGGAAAGACATACATGTACATGTACATTGCTTCTGTGTTGATATTTTTCCACATTATAAATATTTGGTTAGTCATTTTAAAATTAGTTAATTTTAGTCATTTAAATAGTTAGCCAATTTTCAAAGACGCGTTTGGTTTACATTACAACAACAACAACAACAACAACAACAACAATAATAATAATAATAATAATAATAATAATAATAATCGGAAAGTGTACCTTTGAAAATTCTCCGCGTCTTCTATAGTTTCGGGTAAGTCTCGGTTCGTCGTTTCTGGCAAGGGTATCGTACATATAGCTCCAAATATGGCAGCCACTCCGAATATCACCAGGGGCAGAGTGTCCTCTCCTATACTGTCTGCCTTGACTTCTCTCTGAATTTTAAAATTTTAGTATATGTTAAATTCGAATTCAGCATTTTGTACATTGTATCTATCTATTTATTTTAAATCTTATTCATGTATTTATTTTTAAATTATATTCATTCACGTTTTTAATCATGTACCAATATTCATCATTATTTTATTATCATATTTAATTACTATCATAATTAGCAATATTATTAATTCGTCTATTCTTTATTATAGGCCTATGCGCTAAAGGTTGGACATTTTTCTCTTCTTTAATTACATTTTTAATGTAATTTTAATGTAATTTTTAATGTAATTCAATACTCACACCATTTCTTCAGTTTTCTACACGTGAACAAATTTTCATGTTTTTTTAAAGTTAGAAATAGTCGTACGTTTCGGAGCAAAGTATCGAAGTTCTAGGGAAATCAAACACCCCTCCCTTAACAAGGGACAGTAATTTTCTCATTAACAGTAATACTTACGACAACTATTGGTGTAAGAATAGCCCCCGCGCAGGAAGCCACCGACCCTAGACCTAAACTGAAGTTACGGACCACAGTGGGGAACAGTTCAACACCCCATATGTAACTGATTCCGTAAGCTGCCGCGATTCCTAATTTCCCGACTGTAGAGAGCGCCATTTTGACGTAGTAAGAATAAGTAGCATCTGGAAAAAATTGAACAAGTCAATAAAAAAAAAAAAAAAAAAAAAAATCGAAATACATGTAAAAGAACGGAAAAGAAACTTCAGGATTAAGACCATGGACGGATGTAACAATTGGATTGTTGATTTTTTAATAATTATAGTGAATATTTATTCATTTATTTATTTATTAACTATTACATTTTAAAATTCGTTGCGTTTTTTTATCCATCCGATATAATGTAAATCTATCACACCGACATACATTAGTTTCTATGGAAAAAAATATAAAAAAAAACTTTAATTATACAGGGTTTTGTCTAGGATAGGAGGTCGATGGAGAATCACAAAAATCATAAAATAATGACGACATCGATTTTACATGATAGATAACGTCCACTTTAAAATGAACATTTGAATTGCACCAGTGACGCGCATATTTTTTTCGTTATAATTGCAATATTCGGATCTGCCCCATTATTGTTGATGTTTATACTGCAGAACCCTACGTTATGACAAGAAAGCAACAGTAACGGAAAATAAACATAAAATAAATATTACACAAAATGCGTGCGTGACTTTGAAGATTCATCATAATCACATCGATCTTATATAGATCTTGAATAAGAAATCCGTAAATTACATAAAGAACGCATCTTTTAAAGATAAAAAATGGTAGATAAAAAGACCCCGAGCTTTCGACTTGTGTGCAATCAGAATACGGAAAGCTTGGACACTTCTTTTATTTTTTATACTTCATGCTTGATATTTATAGGCGCGTTTTTAATGTAAAATTTATTTATCACCAACGTGTCTCAAATGTTCCCTTTTTTATTATTTTTACCTTCCTCTCCATAGAGATGTACGAAGAGTGTTGAAAGGCATGCCAGGCCGCCCGTGACTAAACACAGCGTGTAAATCTTCTTCCGACCAAATCTGTCTATGGTAAAACACAGGGCGTATCCGGGGAAATCCACGAGAGAGTAGAGTAAAAAGTTCAGGTAGATGTTCCCCGCCATGTTGCCCGTATGGAGATTTATCCCATAGTGTGTCATATCGAGTACCATCCTGTAAGAAATGAAGAAATAATTCAAAGAAATGATGAAATTATGGGAAAAATGTCTAATTTGTTAGGCTTTTTAGTGAACTCTTTTTGAGGAGTCAACCAAAACAGGTGTTTAAGAAAAAATTATACTAAAAGAGAAAAATGTACCGCGGATAGTTAATCTATCTTATCTTTACAAAGAGTGATTAGTGAAGAAGTTTTAAGTTTGCACAATGTTCACCGGGATGGTTTTGACGTAACTGTTGGCGCCAAGCATGTACCAGTACAACCTGCACACAAAATTTTGAATAAGAACTGAAGCCGAATAACTTTCATGAAATAGATAGTAGCCTAGGCGATTCTAATTCCAAAGGCTGCGCGAAATTTCTACACGTTGGATAGTAATACAATTTCATGGTCGACTAGCAAAGGTACCTGTGAAACTTTTGTCATAAAACTTTGTTATCATTTTTTATTTGTTTTATTTGTTATCTATCTATCTATCTATCTATTATTATTATTGTGACAAGTGATAAGATACTCATGAATATACGTAACTTCCGGTAACTCCGGAAGTCACGCGGTGAATTTGACCTTAATATTCATTCACTGTGTGTGTGGAGAGACGAAGAGACACGTGTGTTGTGTGCTCTAGGCTTTTTCAGTGTTATCAGGGTTAGTACAGGTATTTACTTATAAAGTATTATATTCATTCATAGTTATTCATTATAAAAGATGCCGATATTTGTCTCACATTCAATATGTCAGTATTTCAGTATGTATGTATGTAACTTTATAATAGGCCTTATTAAAATATTCTCTTTGTACCTTTTTCAGGGGGCCTTATATATGCCATTTTGTATGTCATTTTATTACATATGACTCTATATGCCATAATTGAATTGAATAAACGTTAATTTTTGGAAAACCAATCAACTTTGTTGCCATGCTATAAAATACAAGAAACACTCGGTTACATTTGGCGCTGCGAGCAGGGTAAGATAGTGTGGCACATGGCATATATAAGGCATACAAGTAGTTAGCCCACCCCGCCCTTCCTTGAGCCAGTGAACCAGAGCCAGTGACCTGTGTGAATCCTGTTCAGGGCTAGTGATGTAATTGAGCCAGGGAACCAGAGCCAGTGACCTGTGTGAATACTGTTCTGGGCTAATGATTTCCTTGGGCCAGTGAACCAGAGCCAGTGTCATGTGTGAATCCATTTCTGGGTTAGTGATGTCCTTGAGCCAGTGAATCAGAGCCAGTGATCTATGTGAATTCAGTACAGGGCAAGTGAACTCCATGGTGTCGGCGCAGGACCAGTGCATGATTTCCTTGAGCCAGTGAACCAGGGCCAGTGATCTGCGTGTGTGGACATAGTACAGGATCAGTGAAATTCGTCGTGTCAACGCAGGGCTAGGGCCAGTGACTTCCTCAGTAAATCTTCATGGTGTCGGCGCAAGACCAATGATCTGTGGAGCCAGAGTAATCTCATACCATACATTTTGCAGTGCATTACAGTGAATAAATATATTGTAAATATTGTATATATTCTTATTGTTTATCAGTTGTAGTAGTATTATATGTTATAGTTTAGTTTTGTTTAGTTTAGTTTAACATTACATCAGTCAACTGAGTTAGAATATTGCATGTTGTTAGTTGGGTTGAATAAAAATGGCAGAGAGTAAAGAAAAACTAAAGTCAGAAATTAAAGAAGAGTTAAGATCTGAAGGTTTTACTGATCAATCATGTTACCAGTATATCTCCTCTTCAAGAAGAATAGCACGTTTTAAAGATAAGCCTTCATCTCCTGATGATGTAGAAATTAAGGAATGGGTGCAAGATATAAAAGCTCACCTCAATACCAGAAAATTTAAAGATAGGGAAGAAGCTGCCGCTTTCATTGTTAGTAATTTAGCTGGTAAAGCTAGAAAAGAAATCATTGGTAGAGGGATAGAAATTAGCACAAACCCAGAGAAAATTTTTGAAATTTTAATAAAAGTTTTCGGGGATGGTGACATACTGCCTGTTCTTCAGCAACGTTTTTATGAGTACAAACAAGGTAGTAAAGAAGATCTGCTCTCATGTTCACTAAAATTGGTTGAACTTTTTGATGAAATTTGTGTTATCAGGGAAGAATTCTTGGTTGACAGAGATAATACACTGAAAGGTAGATTAGCGGAATGTGTTAGAGATAACAGTTTGAAAAGAGAGTTGAGAAGACTAAATTTAGAACAACCAAGATTGTCATTTTTTGACCTTAGAGATAGAGCTATTGACTGGATCGGTAGGAGTGATCAGAATCAGAAAGAAACAGGTACTCTCCAAGAGTCTGCTGTACAAAATGATGAAATTTTAAAATTAGTCCAAGAACAAAGTAAACAAATAGCTCAGCAATCTAAACAAATTTTGCAACAACAGCAACAAATAAATGAGTTAATGAGAGGACAATTTCGAGGTCAGCGTGACATGATAAGAGAAGTAAGAGGTAGAGGTCAAAGTAGAGGTAGAGGTCGACATAGCAACCGATATGGTAGACAATCTGAGGTGAGGAAATGTTTTAAGTGTGGTTCAGAAGAACATTTACTTAGAAACTGTCCACAAAATCAGGATTTTTAAATGGGTTTTTAACAAAGATAGTTGGAAAATGTCCAGAAACTGTGGTTAGCATCAATGGATGTAGTATTCAGTGTTTATTGGACACGGGAGCGCAAGTATCAACAGTCACAGAAAGATGGTACAAAGAAAACTTACCCAGTGTACATTTGATTGACGTTTCAAGTTTGATTAACATTTCTAGTACACAAGGTGCTGATATACCATACCTTGGATACATTGAAACTGATTTACAGATCAATAATCATGTTATTCCCAATGTAGGTTTCCTTGTAGTTAAAGATCCTACTGATACTCCTGTGGAGAAACGGAAAATACAGGTGCCTGGGGTAATTGGATCTAATGTCTTCCGCCATGTTAAACAGTACTTTGGAGAAGGCTACAAGTCTATTTTGAAGAATCACTCAGACGAATGGGTAGCAGTGCTGTCACGTTTATGAAGAAAATGTGGCGTACACAAACCGTTTACAAGAAAGTAAAGTCAAGATTGCAGGGAATCAACCCATACTTATACCAGCAAGTTCAGTCCAAGTGGTACCAGCAACTGTAAGCCAAGCAGGTAATGGTCAGTTTTATTATGCTGTTATAGAAGAAATGGAAAGTCTAACTTTGCCTCGTGGTATAATGATTGGCACAACCTGTGTAGCTGTTAATCAAGAAGGAATTGTACCATGCCCAATAGCAAATACCAGTGATGCAGATATTTATTTGAAACCTCGTACACAGATAGCTAAGATACAACCCATAAATCGCTTTGATGCTGTAGGTGACAATTTAGTTGTTCAATCTGAGATGTGTGATGTGTCAACTCCAAATGCCAAGGCCACTGCAGAGCAGTTGTTACAGAAAATGGATGTTGGTATGACACTTGATGAGAAAAGTAAAAGACTGTTGATTGACTTAATTGTTAAATATGATACTGTTTTTAGCAATAATGATGATGACATTGGTTTATGCCGGAAAGTGAAACATTACATAAGAACCAAAGATGATGTACCAGTCCGTATTCCACATAGAAGAGTTCCTCCTCAGCACTGGGAAGAATTGAGACAGTATTTGAAGCAATGGAAGGAAAGAGGTATTATCAGAGACTCGCATAGTCCTTATGCTGCTCCAATTGTATTGGTACGTAAGAAAACAGGTGAACTTCGAATGTGTGTTGATTATAGAGAACTTAATGCAAAAACACATCATGATGCATACCCTCTGCCAAGAATTGAAGAGGCTTTAGATGTATTACGTGGTTCAAAATATTACTGTTCTCTTGATTTAGCTCATGGGTATTACCAGGTACCAATAAATGAAAATGATATTCCAAAAACAGCATTTAGGTCAGGGACAGGTGGTCTTTTTGAGTTTACTCGAATGAGTTTTGGTCTTTGTGGAGCACCAGCGACTTTCATGCGATTGATGGATCAATTGTTTGGTGACATAAATTTTAAAAGTGTACTGATATATCTTGATGATATTTTAGTGTTTGGGTCTACAGTAGAAGAAACATTAGAGAGACTTGAGATAGTTTTACAAAGGTTACAGGAAGAGAACCTCAAGGTCAAGCCTAGCAAATGTCAACTGTTACATAAGAAGTTACGTTACTTGGGTCATATTGTGTCAGGATAAGGTGTGGAACCAGATCCTAGTAAAATATCCGCAATAAAAAACTGGAACACTCCAAAAAATGAGAAACAACTGTCACAGTTCCTTGGTGTGTGCAGCTATTACAGACGATTTGTTCCAAACTTTGCTAAAATCGCCGGGCCATTGCATAAACTTACTGGAGGAACAAAATCATCACAGAAATCAAGCAAGATTGTGAAGTCTACTACTGCTTGGAAATGGGATTCACAGTGTGTGGAATCATTTCAGAAACTGAAACATGCATTAACTCATGCGCCACTGCTGGGGTATCCAGACTTTACAAAACCATATATACTAGAAATAGATGCTAGCGGTATGGGTCTTGGAGCTGTACTATCTCAAGAACAAAATGGAAAAATTGTTGTAATTAGTTATGCGAGTAGATCCTTACGTCCAGCTGAGAAAAGTGGGAGTTATGGTGCTATGAAGCTAGAACTGTGTGCTTTGAAGTGGGCTGTTACAGAGAAATTCAGAGACTATCTAATTGGTGCAAACTGTATTGTGTATACAGATAATAATCCACTTGCATATATACAGTCATCCGCAAAACTTGGAGCAACAGAGACAAGATGGGTTGCCGAGCTAGCCAATTTTAGATTACAGATAAAGTATAGATCAGGAAAAACCAACGTGGTAGCAGATGCATTGAGTAGAAAAGATATTACAGACGCAGAACCTCATTCTGTTCGGTTTGAAGAAGTACAGTGGAATGAGCAAGCTGAAAATTCATTTTTTAGACATGGTACTTTACTTCCACGAAAGCTGATTGCACAGACTGCCAGTATAGATAAAGACAAGGATTCAAGAAAACCATTTATCCACTAGTACTTTTCCTGCAATTGATAGTGAAGATATGAAGAAATACCAGGAAACCGACAACACAANCAAGGTCAGCGTGACATGAAAAGAGAAGTAAGAGGTAGAGGTCAAATTAGAGGTAGAGGTCGACATAGCAACCGATATGGTAGACAATCTGAGGTGAGGAAATGTTTTAAGTGTGGTTCAGAAGAACATTTACTTAGAAACTGTCCACAAAATCAGGATTTTTAAGTGGGTTTTTAACTAAGATAGTTGGAAAATGTCCAGAAACTGTGGTTAGCATTAATGGCTGCAGTATTCAGTGTTTATTGGACACGGGAGCGCAAGTATCAACAGTCACAGAAAGATGGTACAGAGAAAACTTACCCAGTGTACATTTGATTGACGTTTCAAGTTTGATAAACATTTCTAGTACACAAGGTGCTGATATACCATACCTTGGATACATTGAAACTGATTTGCAGATCAATAATCATGTTATTCCCAATGTAGGTTTCCTTGTAGTTAAAGATCCTACTGATACTCCTGTGGAGAAACGGAAAATACAGGTGCCTGGGGTAATTGGATCTAATGTCTTCCGCCATGTTAAACAGTACTTTGGAGAAGGCTACAAGTCTATTTTGAAGAATCACTCAGACGAATGGGTAGCAGTGCTGTCACTTTATGAAGAAAATGTGGCGTACACAAACCGTTTACAAGAAAGTAAAGTCAAGATTGCAGGGAATCAACCCATACTTATACCAGCAAGTTCAGTCCAAGTGGTACCAGCAACTGTAAGCCAAGCAGGTAATGGTCAGTTTTATTATGCTGTTATAGAAGAAATGGAAAGTCTAACTTTGCCTCGTGGTATAATGATTGGCACAACCTGTGTAGCTGTTAATCAAGAAGGAATTATACCATGCCCAATAGCAAATACCAGTGATGCAGATATTTATTTGAAACCTCGTACACAGATAGCTAAGATACAACCCATAAATCGCTTTGATGCTGTAGGTGACAATTTAGTTGTTCAATCTGAGATGTGTGATGTGTCAACTCCAAATGCCAAGGCCACTGCAGAGCAGTTGTTACAGAAAATGGATGTTGGTATGACACTTGATGAGAAAAGTAAAAGACTGTTGATTGACTTAATTGTAAAATATGATACTGTTTTTAGCAAGAATGATGATGACATTGGTTTATGCCGGAAAGTGAAACATTACATAAGAACCAAAGATGATGTACCAGTCCGTATTCCACATAGAAGAGTTCCTCCTCAGCACTGGGAAGAATTGAGACAGTATTTGAAGCAATGGAAGGAAAGAGGTATTATCAGAGACTCGCATAGTCCTTATGCTGCTCCAATTGTATTGGTACGTAAGAAAACAGGTGAACTTCGAATGTGTGTTGATTATAGGGAACTTAATGCAAAAACACATCATGATGCATACCCTCTGCCGAGAATTGAAGAGGCTTTAGATGTATTACGTGGTTCAAAATATTACTGTTCTCTTGATTTAGCTCATGGGTATTACCAGGTACCAATAAATGAAAATGATATTCCAAAAACAGCATTTAGGTCAGGGACAGGTGGTCTTTTTGAGTTTACTCGAATGAGTTTTGGTCTTTGTGGAGCACCAGCGACTTTCATGCGATTGATGGATCAATTGTTTGGTGACAAAAATTTTAAAAGTGTACTGATATATCTTGATGATATTTTAGTGTTTGGGTCTACAGTAGAAGAAACATTAGAGAGACTTGAGATAGTTTTACAAAGGTTACAGGAAGAGAACCTCAAGGTCAAGCCTAGCTAGTGTCAACTGTTACATAAGAAGTTACGTTACTTGGGTCATATTGTGTCAGGAGAAGGTGTGGAACCAGATCCTAGTAAAATATCCGCAATAAAAAACTGGAACACTCCAAAAAATTAGAAACAACTGTCACAGTTCCTTGGTGTGTGCAGCTATTACAGACGATTTGTTCCAAACTTTGCTAAAATCGCCGGGCCATTGCATAAACTTACTGGAGGAACAAAATCATCACAGAAATCAAGCAAGATTGTGAAGTCTACTACTGCTTGGAAATGGGATTCACAGTGTGTGGAATCATTTCAGAAACTGAAACATGCATTAACTCATGCGCCACTGCTGGGGTATCCAGACTTTACAAAACCATATATACTAGAAATAGATGCTAGCGGTATGGGTCTTGGAGCTGTACTATCTCAAGAACAAAATGGAAAAATTGTTGTAATTAGTTATGCGAGTAGATCCTTACGTCCAGCTGAGAAAAGTGGGAGTTATGGTGCTATGAAGCTAGAACTGTGTGCTTTGAAGTGGGCTGTTACAGAGAAATTCAGAGACTATCTAATTGGTGCAAACTGTGTTGTATATACAGATAATAATCCACTTGCATATGTACAGTCATCTGCAAAACTTGGAGCAACAGAGGCAAGATGGGTTGCCGAGCTAGCCAATTTTAGATTACAGATAAAGTACAGATCAGGAAAAACCAACGTGGTAGCAGATGCATTGAGTAGAAAAGATGTTACAGACGCAGAACCTCATTCTGTGCGGTTTGAAGAAGTACAGTGGAATGAGCAAGCTGAAAATGCATTTTTTAGACATTATGGTACTTTACTTCCACGAAAACTGATTGCACAGACTGCCAGTATAGATAAAGACATAAGGATTCAAGAAAATCATTTATCCACTAGTACTTTTCCTGCAATTGATAGTGAAGATATGAAGAAATACCAGGAAACCGACAACACGANAGCATGCAAGGGCTCATCCTGTCGGTGTTATAGCTGATACTCCGAAATGCGATCTGTCACACACCTTGAAAACGGGCAGTGTGGCCCGATATACCGGTTAATTCAGGATCCTTAGGTACCGAGTCTGGTAGTTGGGTAGGCCTGTATACCAGCAAGTTCAGTCCAAGTGATACCAGCAACTGTTAGCCAAGCAGGTAATGGTCATTTTTATTATGCTGTTATAGAAGAAATGGAAAGTCTAACTTTGCCTCGTGGTATAATGATTGGCACAACTTGTGTAGCTGTTAATCAAGAAGGAATTGTACCATGCCCAATAGCAAATACCAGTGATGCAGATATTTATTTGAAACCTCGTACACAGATAGCTAAGATACAACCCATAAATTGCTTTGATGCTGTAGGTGACAATTTAGTTGTTCAATCTGACATGTGTGATGTGTCAACTCAGAATGCCAAGGCCACTGCAGAGCAGTTATTACAGAAAATGGATGTTGGTATGACACTTGATGAAAAAAGTAAAAGACTGCTGATTGACTTAATTGTAAAATATGATACTGTTTTTAGCAAGAATGATGATGACATTGGTTTATGCCGGAAAGTGAAACATTACATAAGAACCAAAGATGATGTACCAGTCCGTATTCCACATAGAAGAGTTCCTCCTCAGCACTGGGAAGAATTGAGACAGTATTTGAAGCAATGGAAGGAAAGAGGTATTATCAGAGACTCATATAGTCCTTATGCTGCTCCAATTGTATTGGTACGTAAGAAAACAGGTGAACTTCGAATGTGTGTTGATTATAGGGAACTTAATGCAAAAACACATCATGATGCATACCCTCGAGAATTGAAGAGGCTTTAGATGTATTACGTGGTTCAAAATATTACTGTTCTCTTGATTTAGCTCATGGGTATTACCAGGTACCAATATATGAAAATGATATTCCCAAAACAGCATTTAGGTCAGGGACAGGTGGTCTTTTTGAGTTTACTCGAATGAGTTTTGGTGTTTGTGGAGCACCAGCGACTTTCATGCGATTGATGGATCAATTGTTTGGTGACATAAATTTTAAAAGTGTGCTGATATATCTTGATGATATTTTAGTGTTTGGGTCTACAGTAGAAGAAACATTAGAGAGACTTGAGATAGTTTTACAAAGGCTACAAGAAGAAAACCTCAAGGTCAAGCCTAGCAAGTGTCAGCTGTTACATAAGAAGTTACGTTACTTGGGTCATATTGTGTCAGGAGAAGGTGTGGAACCAGATCCCAGTAAAATATCCGCAATAAAAAACTGGACCACTCCAAAAAATGAGAAGCAACTGTCACAGTTCCTTGGTGTGTGCAGCTATTACAGACGATTTGTTCCAAACTTTGCTAAAATCGCCGGGCCGTTGCATAAATTCACTGGAGGAACAAAATTATCACAGAAATCAAGCAAGATCGTGAAGTCTACTACTGCTTGGAAATGGGATTCACAGTGGATGGAATCATTTCAGAAACTGAAACATGCATTAACTCATGCGCCACTGCTGGGTTATCCAGACTTTACAAAACCATATATACTAGAAATAGATGCTAACGGTATGGGTCTTGGAGCTGTACTATCTCAAGAACAAAATGGAAAAATTGTTGTAATTAGTTATGCGAGTAGATCCTTACGTCCAGCTGAGAAAAGTGTGAGTTATGGAGCTATGAAGCTAGAACTGTGTGCTTTGAAGTGGGCTGTTACAAAGAAATTCAGAGACTATCTAATTGGTGCAAACTGTGTTGTATATACATATAACAATCCACTTGCATATGTACAGTCATCCGCAAAACTTGGAGCAACAGAGACAAGATGGGTTGCCGAGCTAGCCAATTTTAGATTACAGGTAAAGTACAGATCAGGAAAAACCAACGTGGTAGCAGATGCATTGAGTAGAAAAGATATTACAGACGCAGAACCTCATTCTGTTCGGTTTGAAGAAGTGCAGTGGAATCAGCAAGCTGAAAATGCAATTTTTAGATATTATGGTACTTTACTTCCACGAAAACTGATTGCACAGACTGTCAGTATAGATAAAGACATAATGATTCAAGAAAACCATTCAACCACTAGTACTTTTCCTGCAATTGATTGTGAAGATATGAAGAAATACCAGGAAACCGACAACACGATTGGCAGAGTACTCAAATATTGGAGACATGGAAAGTCCACTGTTCGACAGATGCGTAAAGAAACTAAGAAAGTGAACAGAATTCTCAGAGACTGGAGTAGATTGAAAGAAGTGAATGGAATATTATATAGAACCTAGGTGCATAACAATGTAGTTGCATGTCAAGTTTTGTTACCAGAATTTTTAAAAACTGTTGTTTTGAAAGCAGTACATGATAATATGGGTCATCAGTCGAGTGATAAACTTTACAAATATTGGAATCTCGTTGTTTTTGGCCTTGCATGGGAAAAGAAGTGAAAGACTATTGTGATAATTGTCAGCGTCGTGTAGTTGCCAAAGGAAAGAGTGTGAAAACGTCTTTGGGTTCAATAATTGCAAAGCGTCCCTTAGAAGTGTTAGCTATAGATTTCACGATGTTAGAACAACACCGTATCATCCTCAGGGAAATTCTCATGCTGAGCGCTTTAATAGAACATTAC